CGACTGAACTGTAATAAACAACCTCTAGACCCGAAAACGCACTATTCCCCACCAATCATATGAGACACACTGATGCAAAAACAAAACATAAAATACACACTGGTTTACAGGTGTAGGAACCATTACAAACGAACACACATTACATCACCAGGGCGCACAACTCCTTCACACAGCAGAAACTCAGTGACCTCATCAGCCTAACACAGATGTTCTCTTTTACACACTGACAAGTGAACACACCCACCTTATTACACACAAACACACTCAGGGTATTGGACATGTGGTGACGCAGTGGACAACAGTGTTGCGTAAATCAGAAGTGGTTGCATGTGTTGCAGATGCAAATGAGCAAAGGGAGAGACACACACAGAGCTCACTGCATGACATCATCTGATGCGAGGTCAGCAGCACAAATTTTATTTAATTTTTTGTATTTAGATGATCATAAACAGTCCAACAAATTGAATTGTGAACAATTAGTGAATGTCAAAGTTCTAAGCAAAGATGTATCCCAATGTGCTGAGCTGAAAGTATGTGTTGGGGATAACTCTCAGCTACTACCACACCAAACTTTAGCTGAATATTGGTCAAATTGACWGAGTTATAGCCACCTTTGTGYYGGCTAAGCTCAGTCAGCTGKTGCCTCGAATCATGGTCRTCCAAAGATTACTTTCTACTAGTTTCTTTTAAAGGGGACATATGCAAAATCGACTTTTCTAGCCAATGAATACATTTTGTTGTGGACTTGGAGTCTCTAGGAGTGCAAAAAAAAGTCAATTTAGTCTCTCCAGGTGCTGCAAAGATATCTTTATACAGCGGATATAATAAGTATTGAACACATCAACATTTTTCTCAGTAAATATATTACTAGAGGTGCTAATGACATGAAATTTTCACCAGATGTCGGTAACAACCCAAGTGATCCATACATACAAAGAAATCAAACCATAAATGTCCAGAAATGAAGTTATTTGTAATAATGTGGAATGGCACAGGGAAAAAGTATTGAACACATGAAGAAAGGGAGGTGTAAAAAAGGCATGGAAAGCCAAGACACCAGCTGAACTCTCTCAGTGATTTGAAAACAAGCCTGCCCCTTGTCAGTGCAAGTTAATATCAGCTGGTTCAGTCCCAAATGATGGCCAGGTATCACACAAGAACCATCTGATGATGGGTAAAAGTAAAGAGCTCTCTCAAGACCTTCACAACCTTATTGTTGCAAAGCATAATGATGGCATCGGTTACAGAAGAATGTCTAAACTTCTGAAGGTTCCAGTGAGCACTGTTGGGGCCAYAATTCAGAAGTGGAAAGAACATTATTTCACCATAAACCGACCACGACCAGGTGCTCCTCACAAGATTTCTGACAGAGGAGTGAAAAGAATTATCAGAAGAGTTGCAAACTTCAAATAAGTGAAGGAAGGATGAGTGGAAAAATGTACAGAGACATTCTTGATAAAAATCTGCTTCCATCTACCAGGATGATGAAGATGAAACRTGGCTGGACATTTCAGCAAGACAATGAGCCCAAACACAAAGCCAAGGAAACTCTCAGTTGGTTTCAGAGAAAGAAACTAAAGCTGCTGGAATGGCCCAGCCAATCACCTGACCTGAATCCAACAGAAAATCTATGGAAAGAACTAAAGATCAGAGTTCATAGAAGAGGTCCATGAAACCTTCAAGATTTGAAGACTGTTTGTGTGGAAGAATGGGCCAAAATCACACCTGAGCAATGCATGCCACTTGTTTCTCCATACAGGAGGCGTCTTGAAGCTGTCATTGACAACAAAGGCTTTTGTACAAAGTATTAGATAAATTTCAGTAAGTGTGTTCAATACTTTTTCCCTGTGCCATTCCACATTATTACAAATAACTTCATTTCTGGACATTTATGGTTTGATTTCTTTGTATGTAAGCACTGCCTCCACATGGTGGACAAACAGGTTAGGCACATGCAAAAGAGGGTCATCACCTAACTATAGGCTTGTATATATTGCAAGTACGACTCAGCCCCCTGTGAGCAAAAGGTGTGAATCAGGGCTCCAACGATACCCAACACAAAGWAGGACAGAGAGACAAAAACAAGGGGACATTGAACCTCGCTTGCACTGACTACATACACATAACACGACACCAAATAACCACAGCTGAAGCATCCAAACCAATAAGTCAGGTGATGGGGCACATGACCCTCTATGAGCAATAGAGCTAATCAAGCCTATTGTTAGGTGATGGCCCTCTTTTGCATGCGACTAAATAGAGCTAATCAAGCCTATTGTTAGGTGATGGCCCTCTTTTGCATGTGACTAACCTGTTTGTCCATCATGTGGAGGCAGTGCTTATAAGGCTGAGTTCATCTGAAACATCAGACTGAAGAAGTCTCTTGGAGGAGAGACGAAACATTTCACTAAAGAAGAACTCATCCAGAGGACCTACTTATTTTTCTTTTTGAGTGTCAAAATGAGTTGAGCTGAGACACACCTCAGAAAAGGAGTGAAAGTGGGGCTTGTGGAGTTACAATAAGGAGGAGTTCAGACCAAAGAATTGCAGTTTCACTTTATATAGACCCTAAATGGATGATTTAAATGTGAAAAAGAAGGATTTCAAAGCAGGATATGTCTCCTTTAAAATATCCCCCAGGATGGATATAATTGTAGCAAGGACCCTATCTGGCCTGTGAGCCATGAGTTAACACATGCAGACAACAACATTGAGACTTTTTCACAGTATGGATGTGCATCTCATTTTTTTCCCTTGTTAATCTGCACAAATCTCATGGCAGCTGAGCAGGAATGTTTGTTACAAGCTAAATGAGTCTAAGATCTGTTGACTTTTGACCCAAAAAAACTCCATGTTTTTCCCACTATGTGATGTCAGCCACTGATGAGGCAGCTCTCTAACACTTACACTACTGGTTGTTAAAATCTGCTGGTGATGGTGCCACGCGGTAACAACCGGAGCAGCCTTAAGTTATGGAGGTAGCTGTAATCTCAGAGGCATTGTCTGCTCCGAGGCACAGACTTCCTGGCTGCTGCCATCACAGATATTTGAGCGTGACTGTGCACTCTTCACAAAGACGCGTGGTGTAAAAGAAAAAAGAAAAAAAATCTCCCTTATCTTGCCCAGAAAAACAAAACTCACAGACTCACATCCACATGGGGAAGAGCCCAAAAACACAGGATGACATCACAACTTCCTGTTTCTTCCAGTTGCCATGGGCCTGACTGTTCATTTGCATGCGTCGGGATGATTGGTGGACGATGAGTCAGTGGGGTTTGGTCTCATTTTGCAGCCCAACCACAACAAAAACCATAACCCTGAGTTCAGCTTGTCCGGCTGGAGTGCCGGAAAACCTCTCCAAATATGGCAGAGGAATTATTCTGTGGTTTTTGCTCATGATAATGACCAGATCCTCCTGTGTGGTTTGATACTGTGGAATATTTTATGTTCCAGAACTTTAGACCAAATATCATCTTATGGTGAGAAGTGACAAAGTTGTAGCTATTTTGGTCAAACCTTAAACAACAGTATGTGAACTATCATACATATATTGACTGAGATAATGTTTGCATTGATTAATATTAATTAACTATGCAACTTAAATTGAGTTGACTCCAAAAATCATAATTTGTTGATGTGACTGAAGGTGTTTTAGGATGGCAACAGTCCACTTTGGCATGCATCTGACTGTGTTTGCAAAGGTTTGACAAAATGATGTCTAATAATCGTCTCACACCCTTCTCAGTTCAGCTACAAATTGTGAGAAAATTAATGGTTTTGCAACTTGTGAAACCAAACTGCGACCGGAGACAAAGAAGAGACATAACTGTGATCAAATTACAATATAATTATTACACTTTGAGATCAAAATTTAACAACATTCTGCAGGTCATGCATTCACAAGATGTGCAAACTGAAACTGAGACCAACTTTGTTTCGGGGTGTCAAACTCAGTTACAAAGGAGGGCAAAATTCACAACTTGGTCCAAGCCAAAAGCCAATTTCTGTCACTATTTACTGAAAAAAATATTTTATTATGAAATATTCTTATGCCCATTTTCAAATTATGTTTTCTGCAACATTTAGAACCTACATAACCTAAAACATAAATGATAAACATTCAGTTCAGAAAGACTCATCATTAGCACTCATTTCTTATGTCTTACTCTCTACCAAAAACCTTTTTATTTATTATTTCTTAGAC